AGATGGGGAGGAGGCATGTTCAAGTATCTTCAGGGTGGGTGGTGGAGTGAGCGCGGCCGTCGGGTGAGCACGTGCGTTTGGGCGGATGTCGGTCAAGTGGCTCGGCGGCCGCACGTGTGTCCGAGTGAATGCCGGTCAAAGCGCGCGGATACAAAGCGCTCGTTCCGAATTTGGTTTCAAATTTTCGCCCTCCGAGGAATTTAGTTACTTCGAGATTTGGACTTACTGTGCGCTCTTAGAGCCGGCCGGAATCAAGAATTGAATTCCACTCACCAATATCTTCCTCCCAACTAGTCTCCTGCAGCACATTCCCAGAACTCCAATTTCGGCCTTCCTCGTTTCTAATACTTGCAAGCTCAGAAAGTCAGATGATCTGAAGAACAATACATCCAAAGCTTCTAAAAAGGCTGAGTTGCTTTTCTATTATTAGACATTGTTTCATCATCGCCTCAAAGTATGTCTAAATTCCTGCTCTCGGAAGCTTCTCGACCATGCCTTCCCATTCAAATAATGAAGTTACTTTCTACCGAAAGATCGTCACAAAAGCCTTTCCTTCATACTGAAGCCTATGCTCTTTGTGTAAATAGAAAAGTTATCCAGAATGTTGGAGTCCGCACTAGTCTTCCAAAGTAACGCGCACTTGGGATTCGAACCGGGGACCTCAAAAGCTAGGGCCTGCTCCGCCAACCCCTGCATCACCGACGCACAGCTGGGGTGCACAGCTAAAAGCTTTGTTAATTCGTCACCGTAGGATCTGGTTGGATATTCATGTAATGGTTGTCAAACGATAGCTTACAAGATGCATCAACTAGAGGAAGAGTAAGAAATCTGAAGGACCTTATACACAAGTCTGTTTCTTCAGAGGGCCGCCCGGTGGCATCTACGCAGAGGCTAACTCGGAGTAGAGCGAAAGCCATCCAGTGTAAGGAATCCCCAGAAAGCAATCATGTGGTGAATAAGGCAACTGCTATTAGTAGTCAGGTAGTGGCTTCCGATGAAAAAAAAAAGAATAAGAAGAAGAAGACGACACTTAACACCACGGGAAAAAGACGTCAGAATACGCAAGAGAGTACATGTGCCAACGGAAGAAGTGGAAGTAATGGGACAGATGACGCCCAACCTTAGTAATCCCCAGACAGTGTGTTCATTTCCGGAGCCTAACTTAAAGGGATTATCAATTAGCGCAAAGACATATGGCTATGGACCCAGGGTGGAATTAGCTGTCACCGCGAATTCTCATGTCACCAGAGTTGTGAACCGAGCTGAGGAAGCCTCTAATTCATGGGGGTCAAGCTCTCTACAGAGCCCTCTGATGAGAGGCATTGTTGACCGACCACAGTGTGTAACTATTCACTACCCCTCAACAGGATCCGCGGACGAAGTTCACGGGGACATAAATACCAATATGGCAGCCCCTGTGGCAGTTCGCGTCTCCTCGCTCTCCGCCTTTGTCACGCTGCCCTCCTCTCCGCCTCACACTTCTTGTCAATGCGCTGCTGGGACGCGCGAGTGATCGAAGCCAATCAACGCTGTCCCCACTCTGATTGGCTGGCGACGTGGAGACAACGAAGGGCGCACACACGTGCTGACACATCCCGAAAGCGGACACAGACAACAGCTTGCTTGGAGCGCACTTGCGGCAACTGCCTACAGAGCCCTTGTGTACGCACTTCCTCAGGCAGTAAAGGTTGTCCAACTCAAACCGTCTTCCCTGACTTTTGATTGGGAATCTTTATCTTGTCCTCACAGAATGCCCTCACAGAATGCACGCCATCGACGCTCTTGGCGAAACCTTCTGTATTCGCCATATACTAGTAGTTTGGTCGCATCTCCCTTCCCCCATCCTCGGTTGGACTCGGATGAATGTAATCGACCGCATCTGGGTTCCTATCGCCTCGAGACTGATCTTCATGATGCCCTCACTGAATGCGCTTCATCGATGCTCTTGGCGAAGCCTTCTATATTAGCCATATACTAGTAATCTGGTCGCATCTCCTTTGCCCTATCCTCGGATGGACTCTGATGAATGTAACAGACCGCATCTGGGGCCTTTTCGCCTCGAGACTGGTTGTCATCGTGCCCTTACAGAATGCGCTCCATCGGCGATCTTGACAAAGCCTTCTGTATTCGCCATATACTAGTAGTTTGGTCGCATCTCCCTTCCCCCCATGTTCGGATGGACTCGGTTGAATGAAACCGACCGCATCTGGGTTCTTGTCGCCTCGAGACTGGTTGTCATCATGCCCTTACAGAATGCGCTCCATCGGCGGTCTTGTCAAAGCCTTCTATATTCGCCATATACTAGTAGTCTGGTCGCATCTCCCCCCATGTTCGGATGGACTCGGTTGAATGAAACTGACCGCATCTGGGTTCCTATCGGCTTGAGACTGGTTTTCAATTTCGGCACTTATTTTTCTTATTCAAGGCGATACAGGCCAGTCCTGACCGACCCGCCTACGTACCATTTTATGAAATCCGTTACACAATGCCATATACAGCTGACATCTATTTCGGCCATGTTGATGTCGGGCTTTATTCCATTTTGTACCGCCACATGCAGGCCAGTCCTCCCTTTTTTTCTGATGCTATTTTTCTGAGGGGTTTTTTTCTCCTGTTAAATTACTACAATCATTTTTAAATCTTGCTTTGGAGTTTTTTTTTCACCCCTCGTTTTTTTTTCATTTTTTTCATTTTCATTTTGCTTTACGGACTTCTAATCTCAAAAACTATGCATTGCACTTTGTGCAGATTTTGCCTACATCGTCTAAAATTTGCATGTAAATTTATTTTTACTTGCTTTGATGGGACCCCGACGGGTCTTTAATAAAATAAAATAATTGAATTGTCGACCACACCGACTCTCGACACCCCCTCCTTACCTCCAGTCCACTTCGATGGGGCCATAGGGCCAGTCAACGACGTCCAACTCGCAGAAAACAGAGGGATGCTTAACAAGGACCACTGCATCATAATTCAGGGCCTCCCAGAGTCCTCCGTCAGTACCCCCAGGGAACGAGTCGCTGCTGACTTAGGGCAATTCCACAAACTCCTAAATGAAATGCTACAACCAACAGAAGATGTCACAGTCCGTAAGGCGTTTCGTCATGGTAACCGTACAAATGCCGTTCCGCAGACACGACCACGACCCCTAAAAATCGTCCTAGGTAGCAATGAGCAGGCGAAACTAATCCTTTCCAGGCGTTTTCGATTGAAGCATTCCCATAAAGGAGTGTTTTTCAGCCGGACTACTCACCTGACGAGAGAATGAAACGCCGCGAACTTGTCCTAGGATTGAGAACACGGCAAACCAACGGAGAAAAAAACTTGACAATCTACAAAGACCGGATTGTCAAACGACATTCCACTCCCCTCTGTATCAAACCGATCCGAGTGACCGCACAGCTATCCCAGTAGCCCGTGTAGGGGTTGAAAACAAATCTCGCATGAACTCGAGACTCATATTCATGTACACCAACGCGCAAAGTGCACTTTCAAAATTGGACGAACTCCGTATCCATACCTACGACCTCCATCCAGACGTTATCTCAATAACAGAAACATGGATGTCCGAACATGTTGATGATAGAGAGCTCATGCTCCCTGGATTTCAACTGTTCCGCCGAGACAGAGAAAACAGAAGAGGTGAAGGCATGGTAACATTTGTTAAGAATGGCTTGCACGTGTCAGAAAAAACTGCCCAACTGACTTGTAGTACCGAAGCATTATGGCTGACTATAAGAGCACCGGGCCCTCAAAGTCTCGATATCTTGACAGTATATTGCCCCCCTAGAAATGACCCTGACGCTGATGCCCAACTGCTGGAGGAGCTCAGATTATTTTCAACGTGGCCGACTACTCTCATCGATGGAGATTTTAATGCACCTCACATAAAATGGAGCTCGGCCTCAGTCGACTGCACTGAAGCAACATTTGATTATCAGCTATTGCGTACTTCCGACAACCTGCTTCTCACCAAACATGTAATGTTTCCAACGAGAGTTCGAGAGGGCCAACAAATGAACTGCCTCGATCTTTTGTTCACCAAGTCGTTTGACAACATTGGGGTTGTGAAATGCCCTCCCCCGTGGGGTCAGAGGGACCATGTAGTTCTCATGGTGGAATACACCTTAGTGGGCCTGCCTGCACACCCGCTCGATTCCCGATCTAATATTTGGCGCGGCGATTTCTAGCAGATGAAAGAGGATCTTAGTCCTATCGACTGGAAATCCACTTTCTCCGGCGACGTCGAAGAGGCTTGGTGTCAGTTCAAAGAGTTAGTCCGAAACCTCATCTGCAACCACTGCCCAAACATGCGCAGAAGACTAGCCAATATACCTCGCTGGTTGACTCCGACCTTAAAGAAGGAAGTTAACAAGAAGTGGAAGCTATGGAAAAGATCTCGGACGAACCGGACGCCAGAATCCCTAAGCAGTTATAAGTTACAGAGAAGTCGGGTCAAAATTCTCATCGCCAGAGATCGGAATGCCTTTGAAAAGAATCTTTTGAACAGTGTCATGGTTACTCCCAAAATCCTTTACAGCTAAATAAGACAGAGCGCACGGAATAAAGATCCCGTCCCACTGCTGCTAACTGCTGAGGGTGCGGAACTCTCCGATGACAAGGATAAGGCCGAACATCTCTCTCAGTTCTTCCGGTCAGTCGTGACAAATGAACCTGATTTTTTCTCACCCACTTTTGAAGACGAAGAAACGCCTACCATCGAAGCCGTCTTCTTCACCGAAACAGTTGTTCGGAATGAGTTACTAAACCTAAAAGAATCGACCTCCCCAGGCCCTGACGCAATGCCGGCCAAGCTGCTGAAGGAGCTAGCTCCCGAAATGTCCAAACCGTTAGCCTAGATCAATCAAACGTCATTTGTTACTGGATGCCTGCCCTCTGACTGGAAGTCTGCTACCATCACTCCGCTCCTTATGGGTGGAAGTCTTGCGTCTGCGAATAACTACAGGCCAGTGAATCTTACCTCTATCTGTTGCAAAATCATGGAGAAGATCAATAAGAAGGCCTTGGTGCAGTTCCTCGAGCAGCACCATCTCCTCTCCGATGCCCAACACGGCTTTCGAAGTGGTAGGTTCTGCTTCACGAATCTGATCTTTACGCTCGAAAGCTGGACCAAAGCACGTGATGAAGGCAAGGTGGTGCACGCCATCTACATCGACTTCAAAAAGGCTTTCGACAGCGTTCCTCATCAACGTCTCTTGTACAAACTGCGCAACGCTGGAATTCGTGGACGCCTTCTTGTATGGATCCAGAGCTTTTTGGCTGGACGGTCCCAGAGAGTGCAGGTAGGGCGTCAACAGCCCTCAGAGGTAAATGAGGTGAGTGGCGTCCCACAGGGCTCAGTCTTAGGTCCCACGTTATTCCTCGTTTTCATAAATGACTGCGTCAAGGACCTAGACTGTGATGCCACCCTGTTTGCCGACGACATATATTTGTGGAAAGTTATTCAAAATGCGGCAGGCGCAGCCCACCCGCAAGCAAACTTGAACAGACTCGAAGACTGGTCGAAGCGCTGGCTAATGCCCTTCATTATAAGCAAGTGCAACTTTCTTCAACTCGGCAGCTTCAGAGCCCCCAGCCACAGGACTTAATTTCTACACGGCAGACCGCGCAGGGAAATCAAGGATCAATGGACGAAAGTTCTTTTTCAGTAAAAGAGTGGTTGCAGCGTGGAATGCCCTGCCTACCTATGTTGTAATCTCCTCCTGTGTTAATTCCTTCAAGTGTAGACTTCACGCGCATCAAGCTTACCAATTACCATTCGCACATCCACTCACATAACTTGACACAAAGTATATATGTTTTTACTACTTGTAATTAGTAAGCAACCGTGAATGATTACTCTTTTTCGACTAGCTGTTAACAGCTCGCGAGTATGTACAAAATCTCTTTTTCACCTTCCCACATATCAATGTTTTTCTCCGACGAATTAAAACCAAGAGGGAGTTCAAAGTCGTTCGCCTATATTTCCATTAATAAACTGATACTGATATTAACTTGCCGTACGCCAGCGCATCAGCAGGTGGCGTTGCTATACCAGAAAAAGTCAGGTTTCTTACCTATCAAATGCTTGCCATCTGCATGACTATAAAGGTAGACAAAAAACCCGCCTCTTGGCTCAGGCAAGTTTGTATTTAAATTTCAGAGCGATCGGTACAGTACTTTACGAGACAACCGACAGCACACAAAAACACTTCCATTTTATGTATATAAAAGATATATATTAGAGTTTCTGATTCTTGTTCGGTGGTTGAAGTGCGATGAATGCGTAAGTGGTCGAAAAAACCGATGTGTAATATGAGGGTGCGTTCGAAATGGGAAAAGTTGGGACTTACTCAACACTGCTTGTGGTGGGGAAGTGGAAGATTAAATGGTAGGTGGATGGGTTTACTTCCACGACATCAGAGTAGGGACTTGATTTCTCCTAGGACCCCGCGTCGCTCTCTGTTAGCAGAGGACGCAGAACTAACAAAGGTTTGTGTTAATTTGGCTGACGGGAACAAGCGACAGGCCTAACGTATGGAGATTCACCCGGTGACTCAATTAACCCAAATTCACGGAGCACAAATACACGGAGCTGTTTGCTTAAATGACTGATTCTACAGTTTGCGCTAAAAAAGCAATTTAGACGTGCTATCCGTTCAGCAATAACGTCCATTTTCAATAGTCAGTTTTGCTAAATAATAAAGCGTGTAAGACCTATCGTACTGGCCAATGGATTTTCCATTCCATTTAATACTGCATTTAAGACGGAGACGTGTTTTAGCCTGCACGTTTAATTTGTGTGTAATGGGTTAGTTCATCCTGAAAGAAAATTATATGGATTCTGCGAGTTTACTTGCGAACTCAAAGTAAGGATTACGGAACCTCCGCTATCAAATTTTGCTTCTTATTACACCTTTGTTTTCGTCTGATTAAGCCAATCGTACCGTTTAATCTTATGTAAATAACCTAGTATGTCCTTGTTAGCGGCTAGGTCCGAAAGCATGCAAACTTGCGCCCAAAAAGCGGATTAAGAAAGGCGAAGTGAGCTCCGTTAAAGTAATTAGGTTCTATATACGTAGAGACAATTACACCCAGTGAGACAGCCGCACGGATTAGTCAAAGGCCCTTGGTTAGCAATTTGCAGAACTTAATAACAATTCTGACAGGCAACTAAGCCAGTTTAATTCGCTTTAATAAAGGCATGAGGCTTTCGTATCTGAGCTGCCTATTCAACTCAAAAAATGTCAACAAAATCAACTGGTACACCAGAAATTCTGGAAATCTGTATGAGAAAGCTAGACGCAAAGTTGTCGATTTAAGTCTAAAGCAGAATACTAAAATGGGATATAACATAAGCCGACTAGAAATTATAACCCTATAGGGAAGATCAGATCTAAAAAGGCGGATTTAAAGTAGTTACGATGCATTTAATAATGCTGATTTTGTTTTACTAAACCGAAACTTGAGCGTTAAAGACAAAGCTGGAGCGTTGGATCGTCGAGTTTCTTGCTTCCTATTATTGGGTAATATTGCATGCCTTTGCACAACCACTTGATAATTTGGGAATTATTTTTTACTGGGACGTTGTGATTACCTTGAAATACTTTCCTATTTATTCCGGCGTTTACTTTGATAGCTCTAAATCTGAACTTCCTATGTGTTCTATATAGGACCTAAACGTTCTGGTTGCTTTCTAATACTTACGTCTTACTAAGTGCCATTGTCACGTTATCGTCTTTATAGAATCCCCCAATACTTACAACGTTTGACTTGCGCCTCAAAAGCACATAACATATCCTATTCACCTTACATCCTCTGCTCTTCGTATAAAACCGATAACTCTAGGATGTGGGCAGTTTTACGCCCCGTAAATCGAACACAGCAAAGACCCACGAACGTATTATTGACAGTGAAGTTAGGGACCATAAAAGCTTTGAAGTCGGTGGGATAGTGGGGGGATTTGTTGGCGATAAAGTGGGATGCGGCTCCCAAGACTAATTGATACTTCTCGACACAGCCTTTTGCACAACATAGGGAAGATTTATAACCAAATTGACCATTGTTTGTTTTCTTGCAGTTGTCGCATTTCTGGGAGTTTCTTTGCCATCATTCAACCAACAGGTATTTTGCGTAGGTTTAAGCAAAATTGTTTGAGTGGGGGTCGGCGGTAAATGAGTCCTCAAAGATGTTTGTCTTATTTTCGGGCGTGGAAATAATTAATACGTAGGTTGACCCCCTAGTGGACACGCCTAAATGCTGTCGTCTACCGGGTCTTGTAAACCAATTATCCAGTCGTCGCTTTGAATAGCCGCTCACTTTCGAATAGCTTATACTTACCATTGGGACCACGACGCGACTAGACATGCAAGCAGAGTTTGATCTGGGATTTCGGGCTACTTCCTAACTATGATGATCCATCATTCCTCACAATTTCGATTACAAACCATCAAGTCAACTTACAGCTTTGATAAATGATGTTCGTCACTTTCCAGACATGTTCAGCCTTCGGGGAGAAATTGAATCTTTTTGCCGTATTCCTTCTATCCATCCCTTCGCTTCGTCCTAGCAACCACCTGCAAGGGCTACCGACTAGAGCTTTAAAGCAAAACAAAGCGAACATGCTCACACAACCGGATAGGTAATTTTTCATTTCCGGTAGTAGCATACAGCCTGAGCCAGTGGCTCAAGTAGTAGGGCGTTTGAGAAAGATATCCGGTTACCAAGTGGAGCCACTTTTAAATCCCAGACCTTCCCATCCAACACTTATAGTATGTCTGTCTTATGACGGAAAGCAAGCCAGCAACGGCCACTTAACTCTTATGCCTTCGTTATTATTCCTTCCACGTGATTTGAAATTGTTTAAAATTTGTCGTTGTTTGAAAAATGATAAAACTCTATCGGGTCCTTCGGTTTGGTCAGGTTGTTAAATATAATAGGGTAGAGGCAGTCATTTTGTGGTATGAGGCTACGTGTAGTTTCTCTCGTTGGCCCATAGCTTACTAGTTGCTGGGATGTGCGTACATATGGTCGGCGCCACGGAATTTCCCGATTCCTCCGCCCAGGAAGTCCTTGTTGCCAGGATATTGCAGTTGTTCCGTCACGCTTGGCATCGATTACCAATACCTGCACATTTCCGAGTTGTTTGACGGTTAGTATACAGTCCATCCTTGTTAATCGCCCCTTACCGAGCTGAACCCTTCTGGAACGATCAAGAAGCTGGCATGTCTGGGCGTTTTCGTTTTTCGTTGCGCTACAATTAATGCTCGCTTTCCATGCACACTTGATTGGAGACTTTGGCATGACTGTTTTGATTGCCGGTATCAATGCGCTAATTTTGCATTTGGTCTGGTAGAACAACCTTTCCTTAGCATCTTTCTTGCATGTTAGCAAGCCTCGATCGGTTGACGCAAGAGTGGGCGCTCTCGTTCCCTCCCCCTTCAGGCGTCAATTGCCGTACCATCTATCCCCACCTCGTCGCCTTTTTCTTTCGAGTGATCCATCACCGTCATCGGTATCTTATTGATGCATTCGTCTAGCCCCTTGCGCTGCCATACAGGACTCAAACTGATATAGGCCAATTGACTGAAATTTCAGCCAGTATTCTTTCAAAAAGCCAGATTTTATTGGCTTTATCTCTCCGTGTTCAGACTTGCGACGCCCGCCGCCCGAATTAGACCATGTAATTTCGTGGTTCTACGTATTATTTATTCCTGTTCTTCAAAGTTTTGCGCTAAAAGTGACTGACGCGATTACTCTTCGGCCAAATTCGTCAGAGTCGACCGCACAGTGGAAAGAGTTGTGTCTCGCCCTCTTCTCTCACTCTCTCTCTTGACAGACCCGAGTCTGGGTGATTGAAAATGCGATTGGATGCAGTAACTAACTTAACTCTTCGCCAATAGAAGCGAAGAGACGTACTTAGCTTAGCGCCACAAACCGAAGTTCTGGGCCCGGTATGTGGATGATACCTTCGTCGTGATCGAACGGGATCAGATGCCGACATTCCAAGAACATCTGTACGCCGTCTTCCCGGACATTCAATTCACGATGGAGGAGGAAGAGAACAACCAGCTGGCCTTCCTGGATGTCCTCGTATGCCGCAAAGATAGTGGTGGCCCAAAGACCAAAGTGTTCAGGAAAGCGACAAATACGATGCAAGTACTGAACTTCAACAGCAACCACCCAATCAGCCACAAACGCAGTTGTGTGAGGACGCTCTATCGGCGTGTCGAAACGAACTGCAGTGAGCCGGAAGACAAGATTGCCGAACTACAATACCACCGACCGGTATTCAAAGCTAATGGCTACCCGCGCAACTTCAACCGGTGCGTACGCAAAAGGGAGGAAAAGCCTAACCGCACGGACACCAAATCTTGGCGAGCGCTTCCATATGTTAAGAACGTTTCGGAAGCTGTCGGCCGCCTTCTTGCACCACTTGGGGTTGGAGTTGCACACAGGCCGGAGGCAACCATCAGGCGTCTGGTAATGAAACCGGAAGACCCGCTGCCACGGCCAGAAACGTCTGGAGTAGTTTATCGGATCTGGTGCAGTTGCGGACAAAGCAACTACGTCGGAGAAACCGGAAGACAGTTCCAAACGAGAATGGCTGAACACGCTGCAACGGTACGGAGAAATGACGCCAGCTCCCAAGTTGCGGCTCATTCGATGAGATGCGGCCGCACCTTTAAATTCGACGAGGCCAAAATTCTCGCAAGAGGTGACAACCGCGTGAGCCGGAAGCTACTTGAATCCCCAGTCCATTAACAAGTGCAATGAACTTCCCCTTCCATACTCTGTGCTGAGACTTCGCCTAGGCGGAGTAATTGGCCACGCGGGGAGCGCACAGGTGAACACTTCTCCACACCCCAGGGTCGATGCGTCAAATGGTCGGGCAATCATCACACCAACATCCAACGCACGTGATGAAATTGCAGCAATTAACGACGCGAACGTCGGCCATCAAGCAATTAACACACCACGTACAACGATCCCGGATGAAGGGGGGAACCGGGAATGTTCATTGGAATGCGGTAGCATGGCGACTACATCCTATAAATACTGCAGCCCCTAGTGCATGAATCACCCGTATCTGCTGTTGTCTCTGATGATGGGTTCGAGCAGGAACCCAAAACATCAGGCTAATAAAGCCCTTGTCCCAGCGATCGTGTCTCCTTCTTAACTCTTCGTTACACTTATCCATTCTGCACGCGCCCGTCTTTACTCGATCCGACGGAGTTCTGACTTACATAATCACTAGAACTATCGCATCGGACTTCTGTCTGCCTAAGTGCTCTGTTTCTATTCTTATCATGCTGGTTTTTCGTGGATTGTCTATCAATAGGTGATAACATGAGAATTATTCTTCATTTTTCACTAGGAACCTTACTGAGCAGACTAGGTTTTAGGGACCAAGTTACTCCTATTAGAAATCACATCTCTGGCATCTTGATGGTTACTTGTACCAGCATCCTCGCTTTGTTCTCTCCCTCCTCTTCCTCTTCCTCCTCCTCCTCCTCCTCTTCCTCCTCCTCTTCCTCTTCCTCCTCCTCCTCCTCCTCCTCCTCCTCCTCCTCCTCCTCCTCATCATCATCATCATCATCATCATCATCTTCCCCCCCTCCTTCCCCGCCTCCTACTCTTCCTCTTCCTCCTTTCACCCATATTTTCGATCTGCAGAACCGGACTAAGTCGATTTACGGTAAATTTGCAGTCTGTGGCTGACCGGACATTTGGTACGTGTTTTACTTTTGAGTCCACCGTAACACAGACCGTGCTGTAAAGAACACGGATTCCATTCTATATTGTCTCAGTAGCGCCCACAAAATTGAGATCCGAGACCGAAAGACGGCGAATCTTGTTGGTAGACCTTCTTCAGCTCTGTTCTCTTGGCAAAGGCGTCCGTGGCTTGTTTACCATGGTCGTCCATGCCGTAGGTCTCCTGATTCTTCTTATGTTCTAGACGTTTTGTACATTTTCATTTCATCGACAAAGACTTGTTTGACTTTCATTCACTAGTCAGCGAGCACTTTTCGTGTTCATAACTAGACAGTGCGAATCGCTTTTGTTGGTTCTGCCTTCCCTGTAAGTCTGGAAGACCATTTGGTAGAGGCCATTTTTTGGTGGGATTGACTTTTGTTTCCCCCTAAACAGGAGATGGGAATAGGTAATAAAGGTGGACCTGCTCACAATTCCAGAAATGGCAAAATATTCCAATGTCCTAACCCAACAATAACCCTGATATAAAACTGAACCGTTGCTTTAATCTTGACCCTAAACCACAACTCTTTAGTTAACACTAGCCCCTACTTTAGCCCAAAATTCTATACTGACTTATCTTACCGTTAACTTTAAACCTGGTCATAAATCTAATCCTTAACCTATTCGTATCCCTAACGTTAAACCTAACCCTGATTTCGTTGAAAGTTGGCTCAAAGCCACCCATATTGCACATGTTTCCAGTTCCCATGTCCTGCCTAGGGAGCCACACAGGTCGGTCCTACCGATCATCTTAATGAGATCAAAGTGTGGGTCATTCGAGCCTCCCGGTCCAGGTTCTTACAAACAGCAACTGTTCTATTTTCTCCTGCAGGAACCTGTTTTCTCTGTCGATGCCCCGAGTTTATCAAATACTTCTTTCTTCTATTTTTCTTCCATTGTATGCCCATCCAGGCGTCGAGAATTTCATTTTTTCGATGAAGGCATGCTCTATTGTCCCGGGTTTTTCGTTTTAGTGAGCAGTCAGTACTTTTCAATCATTGCACCATTGAGCCCGGTCTAATCTAAGGCTGACTTGTGTCAGCTACGACTCCCTCCTCATTCGCTAAAACTATGCCATGTCTCATTTTCTAGGTTTTAGTTTCTTACATTTCCAGAACTTTTCGGAAAGGAGTCAGGACTGCCACAAAGCCAAATAAGATTTCTCTCTTATGGCACTTTGCCTATAGAGCTTTCTTCACGAAAACCCTATTTTTTCTGCCTAGAAATCATGTTCTTCGTTTATTTAAAACTAATTCGTGTTATCGGTTTTGCAGACTCATCCTTCGACATGTTTGTAGCAATCTCATAGGAGTCTTTTACCCGTCAGCTACTTACTCAAAATATCTGATCTCTTATCAATGTCACACTTTTGACTCTTTCAGAATTTTCCGTGTTAATTCAATTGCTCTTTCATCCAGCCCAATACAGTGGCGACATAAAGAACAAAGCAAACATCTCGTAGCTTATTTCACCGTTAAATGGAGGCCCTAGAATCGACTCCATCCCACTCAGGTCAGTAGATTTTCGCCCATTGAATTTTTCATCTGCTCTGTACAGTGCTTTTTCCTAACCTTTTGTCGTTTATTCAAAGCTGCGTGCCCAACGCCCTCCAAGCATGCTTTGTGTACCTACAAAATTTCGACAGAATTTCACATAGAACGATTGCGTATCGTTTGGCCTTCCTATTTCAGATTAACTACACTGTTAGCTTCCTTTTCTGCCACTGAATGCCCGAGTAAGGGAGATAAGCATGCTCACTGATAGGGTTTAAGGTATACACACTAGATGACATATTCCTTGAAACGTTGACTAAAATTCTGAAATATGCACTCGGTTAAAGGGGATTGCTTAGATGGGCTTACAATATTGATTATCATACCTCAAAGTTCCAGAAGCCTTCAATTACGTTAGGATTCCAGCTTTTTAATGCTTTTATTTCAGGCCTGCAAAAGCCAGGCTCGCTAGAAATGACCTTTTAAATAGTATGCCTTTTTCATTGGATTTTACTGACCTGATAAATCCAAACGTACTTTAAGGGAAGCATGCACTCATATTGTAGTGAATTACGTCTTCTCCATTTTTTGCATGAAGAATGTGTATTATTTAATTTTCAGAGTTTCCAAATTCCGACTAAGTTTGAACTCTGCCCACCGTTGGACTTGTTTTTCGGGTTTCTAAACTACAAGCTGCATACTTTGCACTTACGAGGATCATGCATTTCTTCGTGCTCTCAAGAAGATGCCACCCAGAACTCGCAAAATTCTAAAACATATATGGTGCACGTTGAATGCATCATAAAGAGCATTAGTAAACATTCAGATATGATGCTATTTTAACAGAACTTTCACGGCCCTAAAAATCTCTCGACTTTAGATTTCTTTTTGGAGTATCAGATTCTGAAGAAAAAGTAATTTACTACAAAATGGAAGACGAGAAGAAATACTTTCATATAAATTATGTTAGAATTTATTAGGGTTTCAAAAAACATGAGGTATAATTTCCTCCTATTTAAGCTGTCATTCAGGCTACCTGAAGGACGACATATCCTGGGATTACGTTGCGTGATAATTAATATTACAACCCTATCTAAGCAACTCCTTCGACCCCATTTTCAGTCATTGTCTCATGAGACACGTTGCCTTCTATGCATGAATATAGGTTTGGTAAGGATTAAGTCTATGCGCGGAGTGAGGAAAGACTACGGAGAACTTCCCACTATACTTTTCAAAGTAGGCATTCTTCGGTAGGCATTTTGGTCGGCATGATGACATTCATTGACCATTACAGCCCCGAGGAGTTGGTGCCACTGAAATGTCTGCATTGACTCATTGTTCTGCACCCCCACACGTAATTCCTTAGTAAGAGGAAAATTAAAGCGTTTTCTGTCGGATTACGGCCGAGCCCCTCGTCGGCTCTTACCCAGGCAGAAGACATTTGTTGTCCTCCACTGTCCCGAGAACTAGATGCTGCAAAATTTCCATATAGGCTCATTGTTCTGCACACCTCCCCGTACACGTATTTCTTTAATAGAAAACAAAGTAGTGTTTCCAGTCAGAATCCAGTCAGGCATTCTGACCTGCCTAAGAGGCGCACTTATTGCCGTCTCTTCCGCGTATCCCGAGGTTTTGCCGGACCTGAGATTCGTTCCCGCATTAATTGGTCATCGAAAGTTATAAGTCTCAACACTCCATTATTGAGCTATCGGCCCGTTATCGGTTGTGATCGGCAATATTAACTAGGTAGAGGGAAATTCATCAGTCAGGTTACTGCGGAACGAGCAAGTCTCGTTTCTAGAAGTTCTCGTACAGCAAAGGCCGGCAGATCATCACACACCTCGGTCTGCCGCAGAGGAGTTATCCTACCCTATTGAAACAGCCTCCCTATCTCTCACATACGGAGTAATGTCAACGATCTGCGTAGTCTCTAGCACAACACATTCTTCTGACGTAGAGGGCCATCGAGTCGGGCTAAATTACTTGTCTGGATTTTCTTCTCAGAGTGAGTATCCTAAAGATTGTATGCCGATGTATGAGACGAAAGAAAAGGAACCGGGTAGTTCTGAGCAGGCTCCAGAACCAGATACTCGATAAGCCCTTCCTTACACTATGCATGTGTCTAAACTCGTTAGAAGACGCCTGAGAAAACACGGAATCGAAGTGACACACGAACAGAGGACTGAGTTTCGCGCCCAACTTGTACATCATAGGGTTGTCTATTTAGACAGGAAGACTGTCGTCTACAAGGTCCCGGTTTTGTTTGCAGAGTAGTTTATTATGGTCAAACTGGATTCTCGTATTCTTGAAAATTAAGTGGCAGTAAAGATGTGAGACCATCTGTCCCGAGTGGCTACGCATACCATGACCACTGAGCCTACCCTCGCTTCGGGCAAGACCCCGCATTGTCGCTGCCTGCTCTCTCAAAAAAGACCGGGGGTTCCACGAGGCCATGCACTCAGATGAGTCGTGCATCAACCGGCATATCGAGTTGGGTGTAACGTACAAAAATCCCAGGGAAAACTGGAAGAAACGAAAGCCAGTCGGATCAGGACACAGATCGGCTGCCTGCTGGGGCAAGGGCCAAGGGGGTATTGGTCGTTTAAGTGCATTTAAAATGTTGATTGTTTTTTGCACGACCTGGAGGGACTCGCGTCGGAAATGTACGCAATAAAGTTTTTTTTCCATCAGAATATATTTGACTTCAACAGTGGCTCGGTGGTTAGAGCGTGGACTTCCTACCCACATAAAACGGGTTCGAGTCTCGTGGGTTGCAAATCAGGGGTTGGGTACGGTTGGCTGATGACGTCTGGCTAGCCGGAAATAGCCATTCCAGTTTCCCTTGTCTTTTTCAATAATGCACACATTACTAGTCGCTATGCGACTGCCTGTCGGACTATAGATCGAACCCCGATACACAATGGGATGAATATGATCCGCAACGCAAGCACATCTCTATTTTTCTGAAGGACCTCTTCTTTATTATATCGGCTCAAAATGCGTACCGCCTCTGATCTGCATATGCACACATTTATGTCAGAACGTTAGGCAATAAAGATGGGGATAAATTGATGCAGAACTGTTTCGGGCTCATTTTGTTTTCATTCAGCCAGTCTTTATCCTGGCCACCATCCGGCACCGGGAACACGTCTGGTCAATCATAACCATGACAATCATTTGGTGCCAGAGGCACAAACATACGCACACACAGCACAGATGGTTCACAGATGTGTCATAAGTCCTTCATCTGTGCACTGTGCGTGCGTTTGTTTGTGTTTCTGGCGCCAAATGATTTTCATGGCTATGATTGAAGAAATGACAGCAGCATAAGCTCCTATTTGTTCTGTTTCTATCTGTCCACATCTTCATCGTCACACTGTCCGCTATCCTAACTTGGCCTTGTTCGACCGTACGGGTGGTTGCTTATTCATGAGCTC